ATACAAATGATTACTCAGTACATTTTTATCAATGACACACAAATGCTGAAATAAAAAGCTATCCTCTTTCACAAATGAGAAACTCCTGTTTAGAATTTAGATCCAGTCACACCTAAAAGTAGACTATTATGTTTTTATCATTAAAATAATTGCTATTTTATTTCTCAATATTAATGTGCAATAAAACAGGAGAAAAAGTGAGCTATCGACTAACATCTGAACAGACTGTAAGGAACAGTGATTTAGGAAGGAACAAGCAGATTTCTTAGTAAGAAAAATACTTAATGATAGCAAAATCACTGCTTTAGAAACTCTTGTATTTGAGTGTGACAGTCAGGTTAAAATACATTCAAGACAGCCGAAAACAAATAGTTTCAAGGCACAGTACTTGCTGCTCTAATTTGCATCAACAAGACCACATGCATGACTACGCACTATTAAAATTCAGGAAACATCACAGAACCGGACTCAAAGGAGATGTGAGGAGCATCTTCCGTAACGTACTATAGAAGACTCATGAAAAAACAATTAAATAGTAAACAATATGTATCACAGTTATCAAGCTGATGTATGCATCAAGTATCCCAGCTGAGCACCCACTGCCTCAATGTAAATCACGTAAGTGGCTTGAGGGACGTGGTAGAACGCATTAGTGATGTTTATAGGTTGTGATCTGCCACACATGCAAACTACGTGGCAGACGTGCTAAGTGCTTTAACACTCAGCCAACATAAGGTTTTTGCATTTAGAATTGACAATAGTGTTACAAGCTGACTGCACATCATGCCACCAGGTCTATGTCGGTCCTCTGTCTCTCACTCACACCTTCCGTCTGCTAACAATTATAAGCTCCAGATCATGTGGTAATTCATTATTAATCAAGACTGTTGCTCCCAGCTTCAGAATTTGTCATAACACTTGGTTACGTTCGTTTCAGAATATGGCAAAAGTGTAATGCCTCTGCCACAAATAGCTGGGTTAAACATTCAGAGGGAATAAAAACCCTAAATCCTTCCCAAAGCAGTCCCACTGACTCCTGTGGAATGGTGGCGACCCAAAGTAACTCACGGTGTGACTCCAACAGGTAGCCAAATTGTTACAACTAGAAAATTAAACAAAACCCCTGAAAGATTAGCAGACTTTCTACCTGGAGTATCTCTTCCCTCTCTAAACACTCCATTCTCCTTTCAGCATCCAGAACAGTGGGAAGGAAAAAAAAAAGGAAAAAAGAAAAAAAGAAAAAAAAACACTCCTGCCTGGACAATATGAGTGTTGTAGAGCTTTCAGAGTCAGGTTTTAAACTTTATTTTCCAAAAAACAGAATTTCAAGTGAAAAAAGGCCAAAACACTTCCTGTGTTGACAACAGTCTGCATTGGGAGCAGGCTGACATCAGTTATGACTGACAGATACACAGCTTTTCTGGCTTAGGGAATTAAATGCATTTTTCTCTACTGTGGAGATCACACAATCCTGTGTAGATCATTCCAAGCTAGAGACAAACAACGAATCATTCCAGAACCTCAATTTTCTTTACAACCATTTAGTCTGCCAGCGAGCAAAGCGGGTCAAGAAGGCCTCAGAGTGGATTAACAGGAGACACAATAAATTGCTCTTTGATGACAATCTTCACATCACAATTAATTCAAAATTCTAGTTTGGGAAGGGGGAGAAAACACACAAACACAAAAGACAACAAAGCATTCTGCCTCAGAGGAAGGAGTTGGAATTTGGAACTAATCAAATTTGTTACTGGATACATCACTCTGATTGCACGAACAAAGAATTTGAAAGCAACATGCTGAGCATGCTTTAGGGAGAGTGTTGTGACAGCTTGGAAACCTAACTGAATAGCATTTAAGAGAAACAAACAGAAAAACACCTCCTAAACAAATAAATGACCCTCCAAGAACAAACCAGAAGCCTGAAAGTAGTTTGGTTTAGGATCCAAAGAATCTTAACTTTATCACTTTAGACACATCTTTGGCGTCTCATCAACCAAATCATCTGGTCACCTAAAATATCTGCATAAACAAGATGACGATGAGGCCACACTATGCAAATCTTCAAGTATTCATTCAGAAGAGTGGGTAATTTTAAAAAAGGCCTAAATAATTTACTTGTTATCAATAGGAAAAGGAATTTTAAAAGGTAAAGATTATAAAAATATTTCAACTTCTTAAAATATTCTGTGCTTTCACTGAAACTTGCGAGAAGCTTTGAGCATTCCCTTATTTTTCTGCATGAGAGGCATCCAGACTTTCACCTAGGCCGCTTGGTCAATCAGCACTGATCTTGTTCGGGATAAGGCAGCAACAAACATTAATATTGACATACATATTTGCTGATCATCTGCAGATCCAAGGCTCACATTAAACATCTTTTTCTTGATTTTAATGGAACACTGGCCTGATGAGGCCTCATTCTGAAAACCAGTTTTTGAGGGCAGTCTTGAATGCTTTTTTTGGAACACCTAACTTCGATACTTTAACTCTTCAAATTTGGGGAAAAAGGAAAAAAAGAAGAGACAGTCAATGCCTAAATAGCATTTTACATTGCTTTGCCTGTACAGGGTTGCAAAGATGAGATAACTATTTGTAAGGAACTTGTTAGGACAGTAGAAAAGCTTGGCATAAATAGTTCTTAAATCGTATACAAAATGTTTGCAAAACTGTTTCATAAGAAATAACAGTAATGTTACATCAAAATAGTAGTCCCCAGAGGGTTGAGGAGTGAGGGAGGAAAGAAGGAAAACAAGAACAAGTGAACCAAGGAATTGTGATCATCCAGTTAAGCACCAATAGTAATCTACCTTTTTTCAGTAGCGAACCATCAAGTTAATGGAGTTCCATGAAAAGCAAGACAGAAGATATTGAGACCATCCAACGTAGATAGAAAATTAGGTGCCAACATGAAAGTTTGTATTCTCTGTTCAGACACATGATCACTTTTTTACTTATCCTTCCTATGACATTCGGTATGTCTGAAGTGTATAAAGATCTTTTAGATTCCTGCTCAAGGGATCAAGAGTGACCAGTGTACCTCAACAACATGGTTGGTAATTACAATAATTAATTTCCAACAACGTCCTCAAAATGTACCATAAGAAAGCAAGCAGGGTTTTTGTGGCTAAAAAATCTTTCTTTCTTTTTAAAATGAAGTCCTTGAACTTCCCTTTATCTTGGTGCTTCCTCGACTCGTCGTTAGAACTGATTCTCATTTCCCTTTTCTTACCAGTTTACTACTGCACCAACAGTTCCTCCTTTCACTGCATGCACTACACCCATTCATAGATTGTGAAAGGCTGCGTTTCTGGATGGTTTACATCCTGCTAATCTTTAACTGTGTTCACAAAATGTTACGTCCTGCTGCGCTCCCCTGACTATCTCTCTGATAAAAACAGCACATTCCCTGCTGAGGAGCACTGTGTACAATGGACAGAGGAGAGACTCCAGCACTCTTTTCAAACGATTATTTTACTCTTCCCTATGCTTCTACTACAAGGCTTAAGGTTTCTGATCTGCAGGCACAACCTCTCCCAACACTCTTAACAGTATCACCTACAATTTCGTAGCCAACAGTATAAACACTGAAAACTTTACTGACTCTATCCTGGGAACTGTGTCATCAATAATTAAAACCAAAACTACATAAAAATTGCTAAGCAGATCCTCCAGGGAATTGTGGGTGGACAAGAGCTGGGGATACATGAACTGGAAAATTAGTCCTCACAGGACAGACTTTCCTTGTTATCTTCTGTGCAATAACATGCACAAGCTGGATACAGTTCTTGTACTCAGTCTGTACAATCAAACTGGAATATATATAATCTCAAAGGGTTGCCTTCAATTTATTAATATAAATGATTTTCCAAAACTGCATAAGCTGAAGTTTCCTTTGCAAACTGCTTAAAAACAAAGTTATGCGGAAAACCCGGGAAGTAGGAACAGGAACTGGGGAAATGCAGGAAGCCTGGAAGTTACTAAGGATAACAAAAATTTCATGCAAACCAACAGAAGAGCAGAGGGAATCCACACGTGTCTCCACTAGTGAAGGGAGACACTTTTCAGATAACTGAATTGCCTGATGAACATGACTGGGGATGCGTGGAAAAATTATACTTGATTTTTAAGGCTTTTTACTGGAAAATTTCTCAGGCTGTATTATATGCACTGTTCCCTTCATAATTATTACACTCACTTCTACCAGTAATAATGTGCATTAGTCTACTGTTTGTCACGCTCATAAAGCACTTAACAAATCTCCTCTGAAGGAAGGAAACCACACTGCTCAGAAATTCACTAACTTTGAGAGAGGTGGTGGGGAAGAGAAAGAGGGAAAAAGTAGCTATTCTTAGCATATACACATCACTCCTAGTTCTCTGACATATCAACAATGGTTCAACCAGAGGTGATGTGAGAGTAAATGCATATGGCACCTGCCTGGAAAGGTATCTGAATAAACACAGATGTGCCCTGACAGCTACTTGAAACGTAAATACTTTCCAAGCTGAAATCCCAGTAGTGGCCAATCTGTCAATAGCCCACATTACTGTACATGCAGAAAAGCATTCACCTACCAATAAACAAGGGTTGTATTTGGAACAGACTGTATTAGCCACTCTGTAGTAGTGATTCCATACAACAGGATCCCAGACAAGGAGCGGAAGGTTTACAGATTACAACGAGAAGGGATTTTTATTTTCATTTAAATATAACTGGCTTGGTTGGAATATGGCAAGAATACCATGATTTCTTTTTAATGGTTTAAGTTAGCATGCTATTGATTTTACATATTACCCAAAAGACAGAAAATTTCTGTCTGTGCAACTGCAAAAGCAACATGAGAAAGCAATGTTTCTTTTCAGGTTTTTAAAATAGTACTCATTGTCTTCAGTGTGTTATGCAGAAATTAGCTACTTATTATGATTTGTCAATAGAAACAAAATAAAGTGCAGAGCGAATTAGGAGCCTTTACATAAAAAGCATTCATCGTTCCCCACCTGATCTTCTTCTCCACCACCTTCTTCATCGTATTTCAGAATGTTGTCCCTCACGTCATCTTCTGGATCAATTAAGAGCTGCTTGGCCTGACGCTCCTTATCACGGCGCTTCATCCATACTACGAACATCAACACTAAAACTACATAGCAAACAGAGAAGACAAACACACATCTTGATTCTAAAGCATGGAAAACTGTGCAAATCTAAACCACATCACTACTGTTATCTTTTGTTCTGGATGAGACATTTCAGTATTCCAGGATGGCTTTCTATTTTCAAATTTAAAAGAGGATAGCTTAAGCTGAAGAAGTTTAAACTTAGGATACTATAAGCAACTTGATTTGGAAATCTATCACATATTACTTCTCTAAGTCACAAATCTGTATCTGCAAAATAAACTTGTCATAAAGTAAGAAAAAACAAGTATAATGAATCATTGAATTCAGAAGGAAAGAAATCTTTCCAATAGTAATAAGAATTCCAGATTACACTGCCTGCATGTTTCCCTACTATGCCCAAACAATATATGGCACTTTACACAGTGGCATACATTTTTAATCATTCATTACCAATAATTTTTCTGTTTTACTGATTGTTTACAATCTAAAGCTATTAAAGAAAGCAGAATAACAAAGAAAGCAAAATAAGAAAGAAAACAGAATAAATACATGAATTTCTAATATACTAGGTAAATTTCTAATTATACTGACACTTCTTCCCATGAAGGTAGTTGTATCTCAAATGTAAAAATATGAAGAATGTTTAAAAAAAAAACAACCACCAAAGAATACCTTATAAGATGCGGCAGTTTCATTAAGTGTCTGCCAAACCATTATCTGACATTTTAAGAGTGCCTTGTACCAGGAAAATCACTGTGCTGTTCTTGTGTTCAGCCATTGGCTTTGCCTGGCTCAAAGACTCCCTCACGCTCCCCACCCCACGACTCCTTTCCATCATTTTCTATGTTCTGGACTAGTGCACAGTATACTCTAAACAGGTTAATCTTTCTCTCGTGTTCTACCACAATCAGAAATCAGTTAACCATAGTGTGTAGGAGAACTGGCATCTAATTTACTACACTGGACAGATACTTAGTCATGATGTTTAGTCATTTCCTCATTTCACAAAAATAAAATACTAGCACAGCTTTATGTAGTACTTGAACAAATACACACATCTCTTTTTCCTGCATGGCTGCCAGCTTGTCACGCCTTATATGAAGTGCTGTGATACATTACTTTCCAAAATCATAAAATAGCCTACTTACATTAATCTGACACACAATAGTAGTAATGCCAGAGCATTCCTCAGAGGCTGTGCAACCTAGTGTGGGAGGTGCCAAATTACACAGTACCAACAGGACCACAGACTAAATGTCTGAGGGCTAATCTCACTGTCGTCCTGATCACTCACTGATGTAATATAACATGTGCCCTTGGGCACAGATGGAAAACTTCCTTCATAAGCTCAGCGTGGGGACGGTGAACTTGACTGCCAAGTATCCATGCAAGTGCTAATTATGACCTTTCTCACAAACTCCTAATCCATCAGAAAGTTTTCATACTTGTTCAACAACAGTTTTTGTATTTGAGACTTTAACCCCTCCCTGGTCTTTGTCAAGGTACATGGGATTGAAACATAAAATGGCAGTTATAATACAAGAGTAAAAGACTCAGGATTGAGAGATCCATCTACTTACTGAGCAAGATGATGATACAAAGCAGAATTGCAATGATGGCACCAGTGCCCAGTCCTGCGCCAACAATCCGGTCAACATCAGTACAGTCCCCATTTATGTCACATTGGCAAACTTTCACTTTCAGCACAGAAGTGCTAGATGCATGTGGATTTCCAGAATCTGTAATTACTATGGGCACATCATAGATACCAGCCTCTAGGAACCTGATCCTTAAAGAAAGCTGGGCATGATCACCTGTGGGTAAAAACAAGGCACTTGTTACGAGGCAGTGTATTGCCCATGTTGTTGTAAAAAACAAATGGCAAAAATGGCTTTGCATATTGCATAACTGGGTATCAGACCCACTAAGTGCATGACTTCCTTACTGTAAACTTCCTTAAAATTTATTCTTCTCTGGGGAACCTGTGCCAAGGTTTTTTCCTATTTATGTTAACCAGATCAGCATGTATTATGAGATAACACTAAAGTAGAAAACAGAAAACAATATGCAATAGTTCCTTTAACACAATTAAAATTTCTGTCATGTTAATTACCGCTAATTCTAACAATAGTCCAATTCCTCTTAATGCTAGGAGGTGAATCAGGCAGCTCAAAGGCAAATGGGCCTGCATTTGGATCAATATCAGGGTCTACAGCAGTGATGTTAATAGCATTAGGCTGCAGGGTTTCACAAGTGGTGGCTTCTTTCGGGTTCACTTGGGGAGCATTATCATTGATGTCCAGCAAGTATATCTGAAGTGTGCCAGTTCCGCTCATTGGAGGAATTCCTTGGAGAAAAAAGAAAAAGAACCAGGTACTGAGCCTGTTAACAGTTGTAAAAGTACTTCAAACGAAATCTTAACAACACTTTTCAATTACCATGCACGTTTTGGTATTCTGCCTTTACCAAGCCTTTACTGACAGTCTAACGCTGTCAATGTTCCTGCAAACACACAAATAATCAGTAGTCTGCCTTTAGAATAACTGTCCTACCCAGCAAAACTCAACATAACTGCTGATTCACAGGTGAGGGGGACTCCATCACTTTATCTGAACAAATAGCTAGGTTTATTTTTCAGAAGTCCACATCAAATGCATTGGAGAATTTGCTGGAGAAATTCTTTATTAACTTCTAAGACTTACTATCATCCTTCATCACATACATGATATTTAAATTCTTTCTAATACTTACTTTCAGCATGTGGATTCTTACTTCTAGACACTTGTTATCTATACTGAACGTGTGATGCTTCCTTAAACCTTGTTAAAGTCACACATTTATGAGAACATGTAGCACTGAATTTCTTGGTATAATTAGCAATAGTTCTCATTCCTCATGCTGTACCCAATAAAACTTCCTTCCAATTCTATTTAATTTTACTCTCCAGAACAGGGCCAAAAGGATAGAAATAGCTGACCTAGCTTTGTTATACTGTACTAGTTTGCATAATTTTACCATTTGTCTTCTTTCCCAAATAAACAGCCTCAGCTTTCCCTTCTAATGTGAGAATACTACTAAATACACCTATCTTTCCAGTACTGAACACAAACAGCACAACACCCTAGCCACTCTCACAGGGCTAATTTCTGAGCAGAGATCTTCATTAACAAACTGCCAAAGAAAAAAACTCTTTTCCTCTGCACTACTGCAGTCAGAATATGGAAAAATACAATCCATGACCCCCTTCAACGAGCTACTTCCCACAAAGTCATCAGCTACTCCTGCTGTGAATCCAACTCAGCCTCATGCAGTCTTGTGCAGACTTTTTCAGTTTTCTGTAAGCTTGACTGATATAACAAAACCAGTGCCTTTCTCTGAACTTGTTCACTTATTTTTCAGCTGCTTCACAAGTAGCTGGAAACTATATGGAGCCTGATACTAATACAGGCTTTCTGACTAGACATATGCTAAGCATATTTTGTTTTCCGCCCAGTAAAATAGAGTCAAATAGAAGAAAGCTTTTTGAAAAGATATACAATGTTGATACATACCATTATCAGAGGCAAGAAAAGTTGCATTATACATATTGTTTTGCACATATATCGATTCTCTGTCCAAAACAGCTGTGGTTGTTATTTGTCCATTAACAGGGTCAATTTTTAGCCAATTTGCAGGATCCGAAAGTTTTGAGTACCTGTGTATTTTAACACAAGATGTGCTATTTATTTACCAACATAAATATTGACAATAAACATAACACAGATACTTGAATTTGTATTCTGAACACATTTTTGTAATTCGGAGTCAGCATTCTATAAAAGTTCCATTTGTTAAGCTTTGTCACTAAAATCCATGAAGATGCACATTCAAGAGTCTCAACATAGGACTGTTCTAAAGTGCCCTGCCAGGCATGTTATCACATTACTGGAGTAATCCATACAATTACCATAAAGTACATAGAATCAAAAAAATACACAGACTCAGACTCAAAATACTTCACTAAGGATCCCTCTTGCTTTCCCTCTTGTTTCTTCTACACCTACAGCATTGACGATACTAACTTTTATGTTATCACAGTTTTGAAAGTAGGAAAGATGAGAAGTACCTGTACAAAGAGCTGTTAACAGCAATAAATTATTCTCATGCTTTCAGTATCACTCAAACTTAATTTTTAAAGAGACATTGGTTTTAATGAATGTTTCTCATGTTCATTTGAAAAAAAGAGCATCTTTCAAAACCGTCCTCCAATCTATGAAATTTGGCCTTTGACATTAATCAAGTGAAAGCCATCTTAGCTCATTAAAAATGTATATATTCTGAGAGTCTTATCATAACGTCTACAATGCTTACATCCAGAAAAAAGCATCCTACCAGTTACCACTAACCAATGTTAAGTGAAAATAAAATGTTAAGAACCTTGGAACCGCTCTGAAAGCTAGAAAGAAGTCTTGGAGTTTCCTCCATATAAGCTAAAAAGCTGTTGGATAAACTAGGAAAGTGAGTCCTGACCCAAGGGTAATTAATCAGCTTCAGTTTTGTAGTCATTGGCCACTTTTGGAATGAGGCATGTGCAAGCATGCTTAAAGTTTCCATGATTTTCCTTCATACTCCCCACTGGTCTAATTTAGATCATCATTTAGAATTCAAGCAAATTGTAAACAAATTACAATCATAGCTATCAGCACAAGAATTTACAGATAGGCAACAACAATACTGCGAATTGTTGGTGAACAAATGAGAAGAAAAATCGTCAAGATTTGGTCCACAATCTAGCATGGTTTCGATACAGCATCAAAACTGCTAGTTTATTTAAATTGCAAAAGCCATAGTTCATACAAGCATGTGACTGTTCTGACTGAACTCAATGGGGTGCCAAATATACTCTAACACCGTGCGTACCTTCACTCCACCTTGATGAAGGTAGCATTAGAATTTGATCCTATCTACAGACCTATGAACACCAGTCAGGTTATCTTTTCTTCACAGCCAAAAATCCATTTTAAACAGTGCTGCTAAAAAGCTACAGATGGTATTGCTATAGCTATGCATTGTGGTAAACAGAATCACTCCACAGTCTCTGTGCTCCTCACATGCTCTAAAAAACAGATATCGCGTTGTATTTGTTAAGTAACTGTAAAATGTTTATAAGACCTTAGGGAGGTTTGCTGCATGTAACGATCTGGGTCCCGAGCAGTGAAAGTTGTCAACATGCTACCAGCAAGTAGCCCTTCTTCTTGACGTACAAGCTTGGGGTTTGGAACAAAATATGGACTCTCATTCACATCAATGACTGTAATGGACACCGTTGCTGTTGACTGAGGAGGATGCTGAATTCCCTTAGCCAAAGGCACTTGATTTTCTGCAGCTACAGTAAGTACAAACATCCTGTTGGTCTCAAAGTCAATGGGCTGGGAAAAGAAAAGAGTGGGAAATGTTAACATTTACTCACAACAGTATTGGACATGAAAAAAATTTTTACTTTAAAGCACATTTTCAAAGCAATACTTCTGCTGGTTTTCTGAAAAACAAGAAAAGAGCTGAAAAGGAATACAACCAACGTAATACCTCAACACATAGCTGGGTTGGGGTTTTGCTCATCAGCAGTAGCACTTGTATGGTTACAACAGCTTGAAACCTTGGCATTTCTTGGATTTAAGTTGCTTGAGTACTTCCATTACTTACAACTGAAGAAACAAATAGTTTCATCAGAAGATGACATAGGGAGTTCCAGCTTGTGGCACTCATTTAAGCAGATGTGCCCTGAGAGGAGCTCTCCAGTGGAGAGACTTTCACTGTCATAACACAGAAGGCAAGTGTCCTATAAACAAGATCACAACCATACCTAGCCCCCTAGAGCATGGATTCCTATGTCCTTGTATTTTACTAGAAAGACTGTAATCCCAGCTTATCACTGCTGATATCCCTACTACTCCCATTTTCAGAGTTCAGATACCCTACAGTCTGGGGACTTCCTCACTGAGCCAGGAGTCCACTTTAAGGAGGAGTAGAGATGGTCTGAAGCTAGAGTTCCTTCGTTGTGCTGCACATGGCTGAGGCATTTCTTAAGACCTGATTCTCACTAGTGCTACGCACTGACCTGCCTGCACCAACTCTAGACTTACTAAGGCAACTGGCACCTGACAGCGTGAAGTCAATCAAGAGACAACCCAATCTTCATTGCAAGTTGACAGACCAGCTCACTGCACTGCAAACAGCCCTGTGCCTGGGTGCTTACAGAAGCGCTGCTGGTCAGAGTGCAGAACTGCAATTCACCAGTGTAAGCTGATTTTTCTACGCTGTTTAATTTTTCTACGCTGTTTAAGAGTTTCTGATTTCAGATGATACATTTGACCCCCTTCCGAACAGACCCATCATTCCCTTTCATTTGTAGGAACAAGTTCTTTTTCCAAATGAAGCTCCCACATGCTGCTATTTTGTTGTTAAACCAGGTCAGACACGGCAAAGCACTGAGACACTAGCAATAGAGGGGACAGAAATTTATTTTAACAAATTCTCAGTGAGCAAAGCTATGTCAAACACATTAGAGACTTGCATGCTCCAGGCTGCTTCTCTTTTGTTACTTTGGTTTAATCTAAGTAATTTTTCAGATTCACTTTTCCAGATGTTTCTAGTTTTATGCTATTCCTAGATCTGAAAAAGATACACATATGTCTAATTACAAAGCACAGACATGTAATACTTGCTTGAAGACTGTAATATAACAATTGGTACCTCTGGGGAAGTACAGTTATAGAAAAGAGAGAGTTATTTAAAAAAAAAAAACAAACACAAAATAAAACACCACCCTAGTGTGGAGTTTTGTACAACCAGAGTGATATTGTTTTTTCACCTAGATACTGAGATGATTTAAAAAGGAAAAAGAATTACAAAAGAAAATGAATGTTTTAATTTCCAAATGGGAACACTGGCATCTTACACTTGACTTTATAAGTGTATGGGTCAAAAGCAGAACAGGCCAGCCCAGAGATGTTACACTTATCAGAGAGTCATGAGGAAAGGTGGCTACTGCTTGTCAGGCTTAATTATAGAATCACACTGTTATTATCACTTGAAGTAAGTCAACGCTCAACATAGAGCAGTGTTGGCTATGGAATGAAGATAGACAGATTATTCCATAAAAGGTATTTAAATGAGGTTTTAAAAATAGCCAGTCTTTATAAGTCTCTTGCAGAAATAGCCTCCCACCCATCACTTTTTCCTCTCTGGTTGTGACTTGACTGTTTAAACTGTACCTGTTCCTTAACAGGAATGTGTTGACATAATATCAGCAAACAACAAGCATTACCACTAATGGATGCCAGGAGGTAGGAAGCTGTTCCATGAGACTAGCAATGAATGCTAAGCAAACACTTTTTCCCAGACTAATTCCTATATTTTGGTAAATAAAGCTTCAAAATCTGTCATTTTCAACTATCTTACCTGCCTTTTACAGTTGATCACTTAGAATACTACTTAGAGCATAAGCAAGGAAACATTCCAGAAGATGAACGGCTTACTTCCACAAGACAGACAGTGCACATTCATTTTACTTTCAAGACTTGTGCTGGCCTCAGGAGTTCACATTTATTCTCAGTGTTCTCCCACTTATTCCATCTCTCTTTAATTCACTGAATTGCAGGCATCTCTTACCTTGACAACAGTTACCAACCCATCATTGCTATTTGGATCGGTCAGGATAGTAAATTGGCCTGTCGGGTCTCCCCCCGTCATTTGGTACCTCGCATTCCACGCAGGCGTGTGTGGCTGATCTTTATCTGTTACTGTTAGGTTAGCTACTATGACATCCACTCTGTTTTCTGGTACTTCACCATAGAACTGCAAAAAGAACAAAGACTGTCACCATACTCGCAAACACATGCAAGAGTTGTACTGTAGTCCACAGTATCTACTTCATTTGGTGCTGGAGCATCTCTCACATCATTGGAGCCCTGACAACTTGTCTAACAAAGCTCACCTCAGGCCAACCAGAAAACGGACAGTTTGATTCCCTAATCAACTTTTGCTTTGGTCTAAGGAGAATACCATATCTAAGGTATATATTATATCCTGCATGTATTTAAGTCCTACCTGCTGATAAGCTATTCAGTAAGTAATAAACATTTACCATCTGCGAGCATGATGAGAAAAGTGGGGAATAGTTATAAATATGCACATCCTTCCATTAGTCCTACCCCTGTACTTACAGTCATAGCAGTGAACTCTGGAGGATTGTCATTGACATCTGTCACAGTGATGACAGCAGTTGCTGTGTTTGAAAGACCATATGTTGGGTTTCCTTCCATGTCCGTAGCTTGAATTATTAATGTATACTGTTGTACTTTCTAAAACACAAAATGACATCAACATAAGTTTTAGACAAAACTAACATTACTGTAGGACAGCAGGTGTTTCCAAAATTACACGTCGCTAAGCATTGAGCTCATCGTACTGTTTATTCTAGTTAGCATCATTTGAAATGACAGAAGCAAAGTTTGTACTACAGAAATAATGCACCAGGTTGCATTCAACTCTGTTGAACCACCGCTTAACTTTCCAAATACCACTAATATAACCACAGACTGCCTACTTCCTATTTTCAAAACTGAAAATACTTTAGGCAGCTAAAGCTATTATCACTTTTTATACGTTTAGAAACGCTTTTTTTAAATCAAAAGAAAAAAAAAAAACAAAAAGAAACAGCAGTGTGCAGTTTACACTATAACACAGTGCAGCCCTCAAAAGCATTTGAGAGGACTGAGCCAAGGTACATCCGTTGGCCAAAGCACCATAACGGTCAGGCCTAAGTATACAAGTATAGTTGCAACTTCTTCCCATTGCTATGGAAACAAATGGTATCAGGGCTTACTGAGACCAGTGGGGGCAGCAGGAAGAAGGGGGAGGGAGCTACCCAGCAAACTACTTCCATAAATGTTAAACACTCGGGAGAAGATGGCTGCTGCCTCCTCCCTCGCATGGTGTTACTCGGGCTCTGTGAGCCAGGGAGCCACGCTCTTCGGCCGGCTTGGAGGGAGGCCAGCGTTCCCAAGCACAGCTTCTTTTCTCTGTAAAAGAAATGCCCTGCTGGGAGCTGGCCTCTGACTGGTTGGCTTTGTAACACGCAGCTGACACAGTTGTAGTTAAAAATAAGAATAAAGAAATAAAATTAGAAACTCTGACACAACGCTGCTTGGAAGTTACTTTTAACTCATCCATAGTTTCTACCATGAAATGAAAACACTGCGTATACTTTATTGCTTTTCAGTTTCAAATTTAGTTCAGAGAGAGCGAGAGAGGTGCTATCATCATAAATTCAATTCTTTCAAAAAGAAAACTCCAACATAAGGAGTTACTGTTACTTTGAAATATCAATTTCATGAACAGTTTGCCAACACAGCCAAAATCTTTGTAGCAAATAAAAATACTTAAAAAAAGCATCATTTTCCACTCGGTAACATAATTTCTCCCGTTACTTAAAAACTGAGCTTTGTGACAGATTATTTCTCATGTAAATAGCTTAGGAAATAGAATTAGTGACACAAAAATGAGTAAGGACAATGACACTGATGATATCTTTTTTTTTTTTTTTTTTTTTTTTGCAACACAGTGCTATAGACAAGAGATGCAAAGGATATGCACACTTCTGTTCTGCAAATACAAGCTACTGAATATAAAGTTTTAAAACAAATGTATTCATCTTTATCTGACATTGAAGATAATTTATGCTCATGTCCTCTTTCACAAAGGAACTCCTACAAGACACTGTCTATTATTGCATAAGCATTCCATGGGTCTTTTTAAAAAAAAAACAATACTAATCTTACTGATAGAGAAATGTAATATATACATTCAATAACACACACGTATGTATACACATTCTGCTCTGGAAAACACACTTGCAAAGTGATCTTCGTAAGTCTTAAATAAACATCCTAAAGGTTTCATTTACGACACCAACACGAGAAACAGTCAGAAGGGAATCAAAGAAATACTTTTGGTGCTTTCATCCAGGAAAAAATATACTTTACTTATAGTGAAGCAATAAAATCTAGAGCAGTATTGAAGTAAATCTTGCAGCCAGATGATTCCGAGTTATTGAAACAGCAGGTGCTTCTGATTCATCTGGGTCTTAGCACATTGATCCCAAGCAGCAAATTTCATTAAGGAAACTCCATTATTATTACACAGAGACTCAACTTTCACACAATCTTCTTATTTAATTCCAACAAAAGAAGCGCATGGGAAATTCTCAAAATGCCCCAAAAGTCAGCAGTTATGCGAGTTCTTTTCCTGTCTGTCCTTCTCCCACCCCATTCCAGCACTCAGATACATGAGATCAACTGCTGGGGAATGAAGCTTCAGGAAAATCAGCATGCACACAACTTTTACAGGCATGGGGAAAATAGGGGAGGTTGCTCTCCTCGTTTTACTGAGAGTTGAGAAGCAGCCAGGAGTAAGCCGTTGAGCATGTGTCAGCAGCCTGCACAGAAACTTTGCAGCAACACATCTGAAAATGAGCTGGCAGCTTCAAGAAAGAACACAGACCTCATCAGGTCAAATCTTTCCACTTCAACACAGGTCAAATAAAAAAGAGCACTTCACTGAATTAACCTCACGTGAGAAAGGAATGCCTGTGTGTAAATTTAAGTATCCTGCCTGACTTCTGTACCTCCAGCAGCAGAAAGGCAGATGTTTTAATGCTGAAGCAGATTCTTCCACAGCAGCAGTGGAAGAAATGAGAACAGCTGGAACTCATGAAAGAGCATCTTCAGGGAAACAAGTGAAAGATTCCTTCTGCCTTTAGCTGAGTACTTAAGCAATTCTCCCTTCCTGTGCACGTTCATGTGGACAATGCATTGTCTGTATTTAACCTAAAATGCCCCAGAAGATTATTCAGAGTTAATATGCTGCAACTTTTGTTAAATCTGGAGAGTTCAGACAGTTGGACTACATGATCTTTCAAGGTCCCTTTCAACTGAACTATTCTATTAGGAATGCTATCAGGGGGATCACTTTTTTTTTTTTTTAATGCCTTAAACACTTACACTCACGTAATAGTTTAAAACTGTACTCAGTATTTAGTGAGCCCAATCAGAATTTCACGAAGGGTGTCAAGATGTAAACAAAAGAGAAGACTGTGGTAGCCCAGAGGAGGCTCATGGATACCACCTCTGCAGGGAAGTCCAAATACAATATAGCATTCCCCAGAGCACTGTCAGAAGCCCTGCTTGACTCAGATCTGGCTTTTGAGAATCCTGGTTGTTTTAATTAAATTGACTCTCACGAAACTCAGGAAATGAAGGAAGCAAAGCAATAGCTTGGGAAGGAAACCAATTTATCTCATATTAGTCTAATTTAATATTTCAATGCTTTAAAATTAATCATTAATATTCAGCGTGTGCAATAAATGTTTATAAATACGCATTTGGGTATCAGTACAGTGATCCTCTGGGAAAACTGACGGCAAATGACAAGTCTTCTTCCAAAGTTAATATGAGCATCAAAGCTGCAAAGACTGCTGGTTTCTTCCAAGTTAAATCACACTAAAGCTAGTCACTAAGCAATAAAACTCTGAGTTATCTCTATGTGTTTATCTGCCAAAAGGAAAAAAGTGTACCTGTCAAAGATGACCAAGGGATTTTAAAAACAAGAGCAGAGCCACCCATCATTCTTTCAGCACTGCGATATTATAAGGTTCAGGGTTTTCCTTTCCTTAATGCCAGTCTCACAAAAACCAATTTTAACAGAAGAAAAATTAATAAAACTTTTTTAAAAAATTAACCACAATATCTGTTTGTCTGTCTAGCTTTTCAAAGCTTCTGATGGCCACTTTAAACCTGCCAAGTGCAGTAAAACATTAATATCCAATCAAGAGCACCCTTTGTTCTCCATTTTGAATAACTATAAGCAAACAGCTGACCTTCACATTTAATTAAAAAAACTTTTTTTCAGATTCAATATGCTAAAAAGAGGTTAGTAAAAAAAAAACTGAGAACAAGATGCATTCAGTTAAAATTTGCTCAGATTTTATAGTTTCTTTATGAAATTAGTGTCATTTCTTATGAAGTCTGAGGTAGTTCAAAAATGTAGCTAGCCCACATAACACATCTGAAGTGAAGAGGGAAATATTTTCACCTCACAGCTTGGCAAACCAGAGCAAAGGACTTGGCACCCTCTCTCTCCAGAGGAGGGCTCAGTAAAGAACTGTCTGGACAGAACAGCATTTATCCAGGACGTGGCAGGTAGCTACTGACGGAATTTTTTTCTTAAGTTTTCAAATGTGTGATCAGATTTTTAAGACCTATCTTTATACAGTTTCCACAACAGACTTCTTTATTTCTTAGAGACATGTACAATTCAAACTTTACAATCAGTCATGCTTTTCCTGGTTTATTTCAATCAGCAAAGTTCAGATCAGGGCATTACTGCAATTTAGCAACACAGCATCTAGAAGATTTAAAATATTTACCACCTCCCTGTGAAGAGCTAGGAAGAAGAACAGGGAGGACAGAAGCTCCTCTCCTGAGCTTCCAAGATTAATAAAACACAAAGCCAATTCTATTTTCCATCTACTCTCTGCTTACAGAACTAAGCCAGCAAGAGGAGAGGGCTGGAGCTGAAGAAAGTCTTCCATTTCAGCACCTAAGCTGAGCACCTGAAGCCTTGTCTACATCATCCTGATTAAGAGCACACCCATTCCTTAAAATCACATACAAATTGTCTGTGGTTAGTTTCCATCCACTTAGTTATTTCCTCTTTTTTAGCTTTGTATACTCTAGGCCTGGAATAATGACTAGCATCAACAGAATGATGAAAGGAAGAAAGAGTGGGAAAGGGGGTAAAATACTTGCAATTACTCACAAAAATTGTGCATTTTCACAACACTCAACACAACCACTCTACAATCTGCCATACCTCTCTGTCAAGTCCAGCTGCTACGGTAATAATATCACCAGTCTCATTGTTGATTGTAAACATGTTGGGAGAGGGACTGCTTGGTGCCTGTGACAAGATTCTGTATCTCAGCATCCCATTCTGTGCATTGGGATCATCAGCATCGATGGCAGTAACAGTCATCACATAGGTTCCTAGCAGCAGGATAAATAATTGATGTTATATAAACAGTTTACTCAAATTACCCAAGATCACTTACAAGCAACGGTCAAAGTATATATTTCTTTTGGTAAACTCTACACATTCCATCTCTTACTCAAACAAACTGATTAAACCCAAGATTCACCAACAGTGTAATTAAAATACATAACAGGAGATAAAAATACTTTTTGTTTATAAAATATCAGGTTTGCTTAGAATTGAAGAAGCTCCATAAACAGTGAAATCTTACAGTTCTGCCATAAACAATATTTCTGTAACAACACAGTTTCCCAATGTTTAGATAAAAATATTATTAATTGGGCCAAAGAAAATATACTTGATTTTCAGAATTGGTGTGCATAATAATAGCGATTGAAAATGAATGTAAGTAATACTTTTTCAAAGGTCTTTGAGATGTACATTCTTTCTATCTCAGTGCCAAGTCAACACTGCAAAGTGAGAAAATCTATTTCTTTTGCTAGCCTTTTTAAAAATTTCATTTTGCGCTATGGACAAATTAAGGAAGTCATTTCAGCCATAGTGCAAATGTAAACATGAGCTGATTAGAATTTTAATGAGATGTGAACAACATTTAGAGTTTTCTCAAGAATTCAAATGCAAATGTTTGATTTCAAATCCCAGTTTCCGAGCCTCTGAGAATCAGAGCTGGAACTGAATCTGCTGGTGTGTGAGACATCTCTTATATCCTCAGTTGTCAAGTAAATGAGCAGCAATTGCTACTATGAACATAACTGGAAGAACTGTGACATTTTGAACAGGATTTTCAAAAACAGGAACCTAATCATAATCTTAAATCCTCCTCTATTTTAGTTTATGCAACAGTCTACCTTCTTCGACATGCTAAAAAGAGTTAAAAATAAAGTGAAAGAGTAAGACAGTACCTGAGATTTCACTCATTACATTTATAAGACACCTTCAAAAATGTTAGAAGGTATGAAGATACACCCTTTATCATCTTTTCAAAATGTTACAGTAACCTTCTCCTTCCCCCACCCTCCTCTCTGCGGAAGCCCATATCTTACCTGGCTTTGATCCTTCGGGGACTGTCCCATTCCAAACCTGATGCAAGAACTCAGGTCTGTTATCATTCATATCAATGACGTTAATCACAATATCAATAGGATTTTCCACCTGGTTTCCATTTACATCCACTGCATGTGCTCTCAGCTACAAAAATTATCATAAAATATTAGAATTTGCAAAATAAAACAGAGTCACGAGTAGATACTAATAATGGTGACACAATGATTCAGGCCAGACACATTTAGATCAGTGCAGTCTGTCAGCTTCCACTGCTCCCCCTCACGATTTTTTTAAGTTTTCAAGTTGATAACTGGTATCTAAACTATTTAGAAGTTATATACTACTTTGATTTGTTGAAAATTCTTTTGAATCATATAATTTTGATTAATACCAATGCCAGCTGTCAAATATAATTCTCTTTTTAATAATGATCATTAAAAATCAGTCTCTAAAAGCATGCATATTTATATTAAAGGGATGAAAAATTTAAAAAGATAGACCTCATTAACAATTCAAAGAGAATAAATGCTGGCATCACTTTCAAACACTCTTAGCTGATATTATGGATACTGAATAGACATGAATGCATAGAAAAAGCATAGAGAATACATTCGTGTTATATGATAAAGGTAACCAAGGCAAAGTTTGTGATAAATCATGTCAGCAAACACAATAAAATGCCAGGCTAAAATTAAACTGAAGTTTACAGACCAAATATCTTTGAAACTGAAAGTGTTACATTTAATGTCCTGGTTGTCAAAAAAGGCTTACTACCTTTGATAGTCAAGCTTACCTAAATAAACTTAAATTGGACAGAAAAAACAACGGGGGAACACAGTAGTTTTTGAAAATATAAATCTATGTATCTAGGCCATAACCCGACAATTGCTATGCAAAAAAAAACCTCCCATCTTGCTAAAGCCCATAGGTATCTATCTACTGTCTACAAACCTACTAGAAAAGAGCAAGCAGCCGTGATTAACCCACTACTCTGGAAATGGCTCATATAGATGTAAATTCTTATGTCAATAAATCTTAAATTGCCAAATTTTCAGTAAAATCTCATAGATGCTGGAACCATTTACCCTTGCAAGAGCCAGGTTTCACACACAATTGCCATCTGCTACGTCCTCCGTTCAGGAGTAGCACTCAAATAGATTCCAAGAGAGCCAGACAAGAAGTGTTTTAATCAACAGCACACTGGAAGCTCTCTCTAAGAGCTGTGTGTAATAAAAATTTCAACCGGGCCTTTCAACAGCAGTGAAAATTCTAGGCTAAAGTTTGGCCTCCCTCCTTCCTTCAAAGCCTTCTTTCGGACTAAAACTGGAACCAATGGTCTACTCTGTCAATTTCTTTAGAGCAAAGAATATCATTTTCATAAGCTGGCAGACTGATTACAATTCCATTAAAATGCTTAGATTTGCCCCGAAAATGAAAATTGGTAGGTTATTCTTCCCATCCATTTCTCAAATCACAGCTGCTGCATTTCTAATAGCAGTCTTGTTTTAATTTAAGTTGCTGAATTAAAAGTAAACTTTTGAAAAATATGCAATAGTGGAGACTGTGATCAATGGCCTGCATTTGAAATCTAAACTACAGTATCCATATTTCAATCTTTTAAAATTATTTTGTATAAATACATTTAATCACTGTTTATGTCTGTTAATGCATTTAAGCTGCTTAGGCATAGTAAGAGTTAGCCTCAGTAAGTACAATAAATATAAATCTGCTACAGACTCTTCAAATCATATCTCATAGAAAACTAAATACTGGCTGCTCAAGTCACGTTTGAAGCAGATGTTAATCTTCAATTTGATAATCTGATTTATGGTAAATTAAACTCTTACATGAAAAGAAGCAATCTGCTCCCGATCTAAAGGCTTTGTCACAGACAGCTGTCCTGAGATGGGGTTGATGATGAAGATTCCTGTTGGAGGTTGGTCAGCTCCTGGGCCAGTCACACTGTACCGTAGCGAAAGGCTTTTATCACGATCAGACCTAATCTGTGTGTCAAAAAGATAGTGTTTACATTAGCTACAAACAACTGATAGATGTAACTGCTGCTGAGATAGTTAGTATAAAGACTGAGGTTTTCAGTCACACTCTTTCACTTGTCATAAAGCGAGTTAATAAAATTCCAGGAACATAAAACTATCTCTGATTACTTCTTGTAACAATCGTGATCATGGATGGAAGGTCTCCTGCACTGGACTCTTGGCACTGTGATGCAGAGTCCTGCAAAGGAACCAGCATTCTTCACCCTATCACCTCCCTCTTCCTCCTTCCTCCTGGTACACTCCTCCTCCTGTAAACTCCTGTACATCCCCAGTGGAGAACTCTGCAGGTTAACTGGAGCATTCTGAACCTGCAGAGATCCTCCTTAACATGGGGGAAGTTGTCACAGTACTTACCACCAGAAATAAAGTCATTATTTTATGGGGACAACTTAAAAATAAATCAATAATATAGGAATAAATAGCAATCAGCCCAAAAGACTTCAATGGACATTTGGATCATAAACAAAACATCATTCACATGAAGTCTCCCTGAAAACACTTTAAGGGACACTGAAATCATATTTCTATTAACTTCCTTACCCTAACTAATTCTTGAGGAAAAGGTCCTCTGGAATTTTCTGGTAGGTTGATTGGAGGGATAACCCAGTCTCTCTTCTGTCTCTTCAGATGGCTGCTGTCCTTATATTGTTGCCATGGAAATACGATGTCTTCAATTTTCTTTTGGTCCTTTCCCAGGTACATGATAAAATTACGCATATGTTAGGAGACGTTATAGAATACTTTATATACAATTACATAATTGACTGAAAAGCTATCTCTCCACTGTGTTATTTACATTAACAGATGAGTACAAAAACAGCCAAATGTTATTTACAACTGTTTGAGAAAAACTCCCTTTCTTTCCTCCTTATTCATGTCAGAGGAGAAATGAAATCAGAAGCCATTTATAACATGGCACTACTGTGTAAACTATCCTCTGCTTTCAGGAAAGTATTTAATATTTTGCAGAATTTAATAGTATGCCTTTATGTATTTCCCATTAGCTGGAACTTCAGTCCAGGTAATGTGTTACTGTACATTAAATTTAGATCTGGGTGTTCTAAAATATAATTTGAGTTTCAAGAGAAGTTTAATACATACTGGTAAGGAATGTCTCAAATATTTATGACCCTATTAAATCCCATCGAATTAATGCTGTAATTATTTTAAACCTATGTCAGCCATGATGGATGCTGTAGATGACCCACTTTACACGTTGGGCATTAATCTCTGCTGGGTGTCAACATTCTTTTCCTATTCCCTTCTATAGCTGCAGACATTTCAGCCTTTGGACGCCAGCACACACATAGCCATGCTAGCTTGCTTAGGGGTGAGACAGTGAGACAAAAACATTTTCAAAATCTTTTAAGAGAAAAATCTCCCTCCTCTCCCTATCCCTTCCCTTAGTCATTAATCTAATCAAATGTGTCACAGACTAAAAACAGATGCCCAACTGAAAGCCAGATTCCACTACTCTATATTCTACTAATGTTAGGGATGCCTGAACTGCATCTGTGGAATGAACAGGGCATGCTGTTGCATATCTAAGCATATGCCTTTCCACAGACTTTCTTGGACAAAACAACAATACTTCCTTGTTTAAAAACGTGCCTTAAGAGGTTTAAAAGCAATCTGCAAACAGACAGAAAACAAAACAAAACAAAACAAACTCACCCTGAAAGTTAGAGAGCTTTTTTCACCTAAGTGTTATCAGCAAAAATATCTTGCATAATCACACCATCCATTCTGAAATTATGCATAAATCTTTAATGTATATCCGTAACAGATATACTAATCCAGGAATAAATTTTGTTCCTTATTTGTAAATTAATCAGAGAAGAAACACCAAGCAGCAAGTAATAACACAGGCAAACAGAGAAGACCTAATACTGATTTCCTAAAGTAAATATGTTTATTTATATATAGGTAGGTGTGATTTCTGTTACAGTACAGTACATGATTTATCCTATGGCAGCTTCCAGCAGAGGGAGACTATCTTCCTTACCAAGTACAGTTGGCATCATGAATAATTTACAGCTTCCAATTTGATTATGAAGGGACAAGACAAAGCCAATATTCCCTGCCAGAAATGCTTTCCTACTACTACTGCAAAACTGCAGCTCCCATCTAATAAACTTGACTGATGCAAACTAGCACAGATTTGTTTATTTTGTGGTTATATTTAACTGCTTGAATAAATACCGCAATACTTTCAAAGCAATTTAAAATAAAGAAATGACCATGTCCGACTTAAGTTCAGGTATAAATCTCAAACTATACAAACAAAGTTCTCAAACATAAATGAATCCTACATATTTAAACAGACATGCCTTTTCCATGCCTTAGCAAAGCTACAGAATAACAACAGAGCAGCTCTTTTAAGGCTTCAGCTTTACAATTATTAATGCAGTATTTGCCCATTTAGTAAAATACCTCACAGAGAGGTGCATGACAACCAGAATCAAAGACCTATTTTTAAGCTTGTTTCGGGAGAGCTACTTATACATACAACATTTTATAGTTTTTGTTTTACCTTTTCTGAGATCCCTGTGAATGCTGGTTCAGGGGTTAGCTTCACCTTCATTTGCCATTCTTCCTGAGTTTCCTTGTCTTGAGCAGACACTACAAACTCTGTGGGCTCTGCTGATAGTTGGAAGCTTCTCTCTGCGTATACTACACCGTCTTCACCTACTCTGAAATCTTCTGGCTCACTGCTTCCAAAGTATATTTTTCGGTTTTCATCACAGCTCTGAAACCTCACTATAAAACACAAAATAAAGAACAAAAAATTAAAAGCAGTAAGTTTGAAAACTGTGTGATATAAAATGTATTGAGAACAAATACTCGGAAACAGGAATACCTGTAGAGATTTGCACCCTTTCAAGAAAAGATTCAGTCAAGTCAAAATCATAATACACTCAGAAACACCCAGTGAATTTAATTATGCTACAAGCGTAATCATAAACACAACTGTGCTTACAGTGCCTTCTCTGCTATTGATGGTAAATCAAAAACCCTGAAGTCAGTTATGAGATTAACTTCTATGCCTTCCTCAGTCCATGATTCAGCTGTATTATCTCTATACGTCATTTATGAGCTCTGGGCTTAATTTTCCTCCCTCATTCCTCATCTTTAAGATAGAATCAGCAGTAAATATTTACCTTATAGAGAAAATACAAGTTAAAAACTCAATATTTATCTTTTTTCTTTCTTCTTTTTCTTTTCTTTTTGTAAAGCTGCTTCATATGCATCCATATATCCACTTAAGAGCATAAACCTTTTTCATCTAATTCTCCCTCAGTCTCAATTCATTTTGTGCCATCTCAATTATGCTCACTGGAATAAGAACTCAGTAAAACCAACTGTGTAAGGTACTGATGGGAAATGAACAAAACAGGTGCTGTTTTCTTGACCCAGTTGCTTTCACTGCTGCTTATCTTCTAGATTACTGCAAATAACAGTAGGTAAAAAATGAAAGTGTGATTTTAAAACCAATGATCATTCTTTAATGCTTTCAAAGCATAGTGAAATATTTGATTGTATGGGCAACAGAAGTTCAAAACATCGTTATGAAGGTTGTGTTGAGATGCACATATTGAAGATGAAGATAAAATGAGGCTTTATGCCTCATTTCAGTTATTGGACTTTTTTATATTGTGCTAAACCATGCACAAACTACTTAGCTTCAAAACCTAAAGGTCTCTCTCAAGAAAAATCACTACTAAATGTCATGCATCATATGCTTTCTTCCATAATGCACTGGTTACAGGAAGGTACTGAGAAGAAGAATCACATCTTTTCCCATTTGAACTTCAAGGACTGAGATGATGTTCAGATGACATTCAAAATTTGTTTCTTTACTTCACCCTTCATCTGGAATCTCCCACTTGCCCTCTCCTGACAGAAGAGACTTTATAAATACTTCTTTAAAAGGGTCTATCATGCACAAAATGTGACGAACCACAGTGCTCCTCAAAACAAATGATAAAACATCAGTGTTCCCAGTATTAAGCTTACTGGCTTGTGCTCTTTCCACATGGCTCATGTGGTTGAAAGGCTTCCTTTGGGAAATGCCACTGTCGTACTAGGGAGAATACAAGCCCCAGCAGAAGGCACAGAAGGGAGGAAGAACACACATCTCCCTGGTTGAAGTCTGTGGCCTCATCACTAGGACTCCTCATGCGGCTCCTTGTAGATGCTGCCTCAGGCCTTCACCATGAGCAGTGGGGACTGTTTCACTGCAATTCTAAGAAATACTTGGCCTCTAAGACCCAGAAAGCATAACAGAACCAAAAAAAAAAAACCCAAAACAGAAGAGTGAGCAACATAACCCATAGCTCTGTGCCTCTGCTGGCCTCTAATCTCAGCTACCACTGCTCTCTCTGAACCTGCTCTTCAAAAGAGTGCCCTGACCAAAAAGGCAAAAGACAGGCTGATTCACCTCTGGCTCTTCTCAAGTCTCATTTCTGAAAACTACCAAGTGCAAAAGAAAATTAATATTAATCCAAACTTTGATCATTACTAGTTTTAAAAAGGGGAAATTTAAAAGGAATATTACAGTCATTATAATCTGAAAGACTAAGATACCATGACATTTCATAAAAACTTATTTCCCAACACACAGAAACGTAATATATTCAATGTTTTATGCATATCATAAGATTCTGAGAAAATCCCTTTCCTTTTACAGCATCTTTGTAAAAATTTATAAAATCATCAGTGCTTTGTTAGAATTACTCTCCCCTTGCAAGGAACACATTAACAAATTACCCTCAACTATAACCATCCATAATTGAATTACCTTGACAGAGTACAAGTTGTACAGTAGTGACTCTCTCCACAACCGTACGGCTATCATTCTTAAATTCGATTTAGATCCCTCTACTTCATTTTTCAATATTCAACTGGTATGAACAAAGAGGGACTGCTGACTGTAGGTTTTTAATCTAAGGATGGAGGGTTTTTTTGCAAAAATGCTACAGGAACTTTTTTCAGTGAGAGTAACACCACTGTTTACACCAATCATGTTTTAATACCAACACTGAATCACAGAAAGGCCTGGGTTGAAAAGGACCACACTGATCATCTAGTTTCAACCCCCTGCTATGTGCAGGGTCACCAACCAGCAGACCAGGCTGCCCAGAGCCACATCCAGCCTGGTCTTGAATGCCTCCAAGGATGGGGCATCAACAGCCTCCACAGGCAAACCTTTTCCAATGTATCACCACCTTCTGTGTGAAAAACTTTCTCCTAATATCTAACCTAAACCTTCCGTCTTTAAAACCATTCCCCCATGTCCTATCACTATCCACCCTCATGAACAGCTGTTCTCCCTCCTTTTTGTATGCTCCCTTCATGTACTGGAAGGCCACAATGAGGTCTCCTGGGAGACTTCTCTTCTCCAAGCTAATTAAGCCTCAGCCTTTTTTCACAGAGGATACGAAGGGAGATATGTTTTCCAAAAATTCCATTCTGTTGTTAAATCAATCACATGGATCCCTTTTTATTTTTAAAGAAGGTTAACCACATATATTATAGAGCATTTAGGTCACTTTATTTGCAACGAAAACAGTAATCAAATATCTTTTTTTTTACTACTTCATTAATTTCCTACTACTCTGAGAAACTTTTTCAGCACAAGCAGTATTATATTCATTACTTTAAAAAAAAAAAAAAAAAAGAGAACCTGTCTCTGTAACATTATTAAAGGAACACGTACAGCTCTGCGCTATTAAAGCAAGCCCTCAAGTCAACACTCTTTTGCATGGAAGCAATTAAAATATATGCTTAAATTTGTAGTGTACAAAGTCTTGAGAACTAAACATGCAAATTCATTTAAAGTGCCAGAGTTACACCACTTTCACTCCTGTCTAACGGGATGAATGATTCATAGTATCTGTTAAAACATTTCTAACCTCATGTACCTTACTAGTAGTCTTTAAATTACCTAGGTTTTTATTCTCTCAGAAAGGATTCTTTCTTCAGCTACTCATGCTGGTTTGCACAGTTTTAGCAATTCCCTTCTGCTCCCTTCACCTTAGGCAAAAAACAGCAAAATTATTTGACCCAGAGACTGAATACAGTCTGATACAATGGACTATTACTAAACTCAGTTTTTCATGAAAATATTCACGTACAGTCTACCAATAGAGACTTTTTGTTACTTGTATTAGTCCTGAGACAGCTGTGTTGAGTTTGCCATTCGAATTTGTGTATTTTGGAAGTATCTAATTCACTTCTGGATAAGATTCAGATACATACAAATGACAAAAATTAATGTATTTCATTTTGATAATATACTGGAGCAACATTATTTGTCTTGGATGTTATTCTCCATGCCTAAGCATCAACATCAAAGCTTACTTAGAGGACATTATGAAAACTGCAATAAATTCTAAGCACTGGTAACACATGCTCAAATAATACAGTTAAAAGTATACATCATAAAATGGAAAAAAAACCAACAGGTATATTTAACTTACTCAAGATCACTGTACAGCAGATAGTAAGGTAAGAAAGTAGCTTACATAAAACCACCTACCAGATACCACTTCCGACAGTATGAAAAACTGTACAGAAACATTCTGCTTGAAGAATCAAGCTAGCTGCAAGCTTAACAACTGAATATTACCCTCTTCAAGAAGGCTATTTAAGAAGTCTTCCTACTTCTGCAAGAAGAGAAATCAAAGAAAACTACGCTAAATATATATACATATATTTTTAATTACACCTCTATAAATTAGTCATTTATTCAGATTGGCTGCTTCTGTACCTGTAAGGTGATCTATTAGTCCTACTTAGAGTGCAGATGCTCATATTTCAGTTTATGGTTTGTCAAAGTGGCATCTGAAATGCTCATGAGACACTCTACTACAATTATAGATAACTTTCAAGTATATATAAAGCCAGAGAAGTGGATTTTTTCTAATGTATCTTAGTGGACCATTATAATTGCAAGCAACTGAACTACTTGCCAACTTGCTTCTTCCTTCAATGATAGCACTTCTAAAGTATGTCTGATTATTAAACCTTCATGAGCTTAGCTTAAAAACATTATTTTTGATTTTTTTGACACATGGGTGGTCTGCAGCCATCAGGAAAATGTCTTGATTTTACCTGTAAGCTGAGAAAATTAGATGCAGAAGCCACTGATGCAAAATAAATATGGAATATAATCAAGTTATTTTGGACAATGGCATTTTCCTAACTGAATTATAATTGAATTTGTCATTATATCCCTCAGAGATGCTTCAATTCACTAGCACTGTTTCTAATGTGTTCTTCCATTCTGTTTTCTAATCCCCTTTTCCTTTGTCCTTTTACAGTCATGCACAGTGACTTGCATGCACACTTCATCCTATTCTCCACGTCATCCAGAAAAATCTCAAAAACTGACTCCTTCTGAGCCTTTTTGGAGTAACCGGCCTGTAACATTTCCAAAGAAAGCTTGCCTGTTAAAAGGCAGCCGCTTACCACTTTCTCAGAGCACGTCTGCTTATTCAGTAATTGCTTCTGAAAATCTCTAATTCTGTGCTGAACACTGCACTACGCTCTGCCACCTTCACCCACAGTGAGCAGAAGGCTGCTTCCATGGAAGACACATTCCAAATTTTGCTACTTACTAAGGGCCAAATTTGGTCTATATGCGTCTAATTCCTATTTTCACTTGACTTCACAAGCTTTTCAGCCTGGTTCCAAGTGGAAGCCTGGCTAGGAAACTTGCAAAAGAAAAGAAACAAACAGAAAATTTTCAACTGAAA